TGCCTGTCTGAGAAAATTGATGCTGAATGCTCATTAGCATAAATCGTTGACCTGAGACCTCGTTCACATTAGACTTAGAACACAGGTTTTATAGTTGTAAATATTTTGTTTTAATCGTTTTTTTTATAACATTAACGTTAAATTTGGTCCTTTAAAAACTTTAAAAACTGTACAAACTCGATTTAAATGTGTTTAATAGAGAAATGACAAATTGATGTTTCCTTGGAGGCAGGCTAGATTGGTGGTTGGAATTATGTTTCCTTTATGCCTTCTTACTAGACATAAATGGAAGTGGCAAGACAGGAGGGAGAGGAAGTAAGGGGCTTTGCAAGTCTGGACTCTTAGGGTAGAAACTGACCCAGATCACAGACAAATCAAGTGTTTTTCCTGATTCTTTATCTCTCTTTCTCTCTGTCTCTCTGTCTCTCTCTCCCCCCCTCTCTCTCTCTCTCTCTCTCTCTCTCTCTCTGTCTCTCTCTGTCCCCTTTCTCTGTTTCTCTTGCTATCTGTTGCTTTAATTATCTGTTCCACTTTTAAAAACAGAAGAAGAAAAAAGCTTTTGATATTGTGTATGCCTATGTTATATCTTCTTTAAATTATATAGCCCCCCCCCCCCCCCCCCAACTGATGAGAGACAATTCGTCGCTGTTTTCACGAAGTGACGGTAGTGAGAAAAAAAATTGCATTCACTTTGCGTTACGATTTTCCTCACTACCGTCACTTCGTGAAAACAAGGACGAATTATTAGGAGTTTAATATCCATACATCGAGGGCAACTTCATTTTGCTCACACTATGAGCCCTTTGTTATCCTATGCCCTCCCTCATCAAACTTTCCTTTCAGTCTGATGAGGAGTTGACTTATTCACACTGTAGCATCCAATCAGACAAACATATACAATTGCCAGATGATTTTTTTAAAGTGAAACATAATTACAATGATTAGACCATGCAACTTGGCTCTTTTGTCCTGTATTTGACGAAGTAACAAAACTGCTTTGTAATTAGGCTTTGAGAACAAGTCCTCTGGCACGGTATGATGAGTGTGGTAAATAAAAAGTATCCACCCTAATTAGGCTATGAGACCAGCCTTTAATGGCTTTGAATAATACATATCCTAACTTGAATAATAACCTTAATGCTTCTAATTAGGCCAAGAGAACAGCCGGCTTCATAGCAACTGTTCTAGTGAGTGGCTGAGTTAACCCATTATAATTTGCATTCATGTGCATTACATCTAATTTCCTTTCTCCAAGTTGAATGCTAAAACATAATCTAGGCAAACATAACATTTGTACGTTATTCCATAAACAGTAGGCTGTCTTTCCATCCTGTAAGATCTTTTAACTACAGTGCATTGAGCAAAAAAGAGAAGTATGTTTTCTCCACATACATGTTGTATTTCAGAAACTGGTTCAGAAATATTTTCTTGAACTTTTTATTTATACTGGTTGTTTTTTCATCTATCAACATTTATGAATTGTTTTTCATAAAGAGGCTGTCTTTGTAATGTTTCAAATTAAATATTTCTCTATCAAGTGCCCGATAATCAACTAGTGCATTCACCTGTTATGAGTTATTGCCTTCAATAGTCAGAATTCTTTTATTCACTGCCCGCCCATAATGCAAATTTCATACAATAGATGTTTTCAGGTCTGACGATTAGCCTTGTTTATAATCCAACTAGCAACATACGTGCAATTTGCATTCAAACAAATGAACAATAATTCATAAAATTCACCACTAGGGAGAATTATACCATTGTAAACACATTACCCCTGCAAAATAGCTTATGACCATGAGTTTTGAATTTATTTTAAGATGCTGGTATTCAGTATTTATTTCTGGATCCAAGTAAAGAATACATAGATGAACAATTGACTGTATCATGCCATATGCTTCCAATATGTTCATTTGAACTAAATACATGACCCCATACCAAAACTTTGTATTACCCGTAATGTTCTTTTTGCTCTTGTTAGATGATATGCTGTACATTGTCATTGAGGTGAATTCTCATGCACTTGATTGAACATAATATTGGCTATGGTCAATTTATAACTTGAAATCATTCACTGTTCTCATGGTTTTAATATTAACCTAATTCAAACATCGTGTAGTTTATTAAAGATATGCACTGCAAGAATAGTGCAAAATCTTCATTCGTGTGGAATAATTTTTCACATATTTTCAAATGATAGGTATAATTGGTACAGTATTTGAGAAGAAAAAAAATGACATACACTGTAATTTGATATCAAACACATCCAGTACTTAATAACAAAATATGCAATTTGAAAACTATATCACATTCCGGGGTACTCTATTGTTATTGAAAAATCTCTCTTTTTTCACTAGCCTAAGGACAACTGTTGGTGCCCAAAAATAAAGGCATGTATTTGACCTCATTGCTGCTTCAGTGCACCTGTGTTAATCTCACTAGCAGACCCATTGATGCAAGCCCTAATTGGCTGACTACAATTCAAGTGTAGTTATATATTTTTTGTCTGTACAGTGACATAAGGTTAATAGAGGAAATCATGGTGAATATCAGTTGGATGTTGTTGAAGCAAAGCATGAAATTCAGTCTAATTTGGTCAACTAAAATGGACTATCTAGTTCCTACTGGTCAAGAGGTCTGAATGTACATAGACTAGTAATGAGTTCTTGGCCATGGCCTCAATTTCTTGTCACAGAGCATAAATGCAGTTTATCAATCTTTTGTGGTCACTCGGCCTCCAGATGCACCCCTAAAATAGCTAGGCTCCTCCCACATTTCATTTACCTGTTTTAGTCTAAACAATTCAGACTCCTTTCCAAAGTTAGTAAACATATTAAAGGTAAAGACCAGTAATGGTCATGCGATTGCATTGTGAAAGAAACGTTGTGGAATCGATCAGGAAAGGTTGATCATCTAGCATCTAGCATCTGCAAGGTTCTGGAATCATCAAAATGATAAGAAATTTGGCCCATTCTTCGTAAAGTTACAAGCACTATACACAGAAAGATGTATATGGGACTACCCTATCTCTCTCACCAGACCATGAGAGAAATAAATTTACCAAATATATGAATTAGTAGGCGGTTTCCCGGCAAATTTTTTATCATCATGTATTAGTCAAAACATATTCTTTCACATGATTGGTAATGAGAGCTTCCATTTCATTTTTTGAAATTGGGGCGTTGCCAATACTGGTCTTTACCTTTAAGCTTGCCCCATAATGCAGTGTGTGTATTTTATTTAAGATAATGTTCCATGAAAGTTGCTAAACATTTGATAACTTTTTGTGATTAACATGGACTTCCTACAAAGAACATTCCTCCTTAATTGGTTCCAAGCATAGGCCACTAGTAGTAGTACTAGAAGTTTGGGTTTTAGCCCTATGGCTACTGTATTCTCATATGGTTAATACAGAGACCACCCAGTTCCATAGGCAATGGGTTAATTGAGATTTCAGAAATTTTTTTGGGTCAGAAATAACCGTAGACAAAATAAATTGAAAGCACGGGTACATCCGTGTGTAGATATATCTTTAAGAAATAAAGGGCACTTTTAACCCGGCCCTTACCAGTTAAAAAAATCCATTTATCACAAAGTTCAAGCACAAAACAAGCTGTACATACACTGTTATCCACTTCAGTTTCTCCAACATATTGTGGCAAGAAAAGAGGTGGTTCTTCGGCCATTTTCAATTCTTGCTATCGCTAATACCCCGATGTACTATGCATGTGCAGTATACGTACCCGAACGCTCTCTTATTGGCTGCTACTGAATCCCTTTAGATTTTTTACAAGTCCATGATTATCCCAGAACAAAGTCCCAGGGTGCAATACCACTAAATGTCCATCATGTTGCAATTGTTCTTTGTCAAAATGCCAAACATAGTCATTTCAAACTTGTCTTGCCTTGATTCTCTGCAACTTTTTATATGTCATGTACTGTGTAGGGTTTGTTGGGAATTTTACCCAAATCACATCTCTTATCAAGGGATATTTCTCCAAAAGCACACAACAGATTCACAGTATCGCACCATATTCTAACTGACAATTCAGTTTGTAAGAGTAGAAAATTGCCTACGATATATACAACTTTACTATCAAATAGAGCTGTGTGTAAAGTGTAAAATACTTAGCCAAAAGCTCCAACTGAATACCAAAGTTGGCTAAGTATTTTATCTAAGCCACAAACTGAGTAAAAGACTCATATTTCTGGCTTATGGGTTACCGGTAATTAAACACAGGCCCTAGACCTCAACTTCAAAAAGTTATGAGTGTAATATAATTATTATAATAATATGTCTTGTTTACCCAGGGTAGCCTCATCAGTATTCATACTGTTCTCCCTGAGGGCCCTGCAATCATAATATGTAATGATCATGTGATGAACGTTAGTGAGATATCCCTTTGAACTTTTGATGTTGATTAGGTCACAAATCTCATTGCAATCATTATCTATGGACTGTGCCATTAATATAGTTATTTTCATCATGTAATGAATGAGATAACCATGTGATAAGTTTTTCCTAAAGGAAATGTTTGGGAGCATTGCATCTTTTGAATAGGGATTTATTGACCATGAAAAAAACATATACCTAACAACTGAATTGTTCATACCCCTTTTAAATATGATGTTTTTTGTGTTTTCCATAACTCAAGAATGATAGGTGGACTGGTTGAATTTATAGGAACTTTGTTGAATACTTTTAGATGTATTGTAACAAATCAGGACAAATTACTTTTTTCACATACTTCATAAATTATATAACTTAGTAAAGATATGAATAATTTAGTTGTTAACTGTATACTGGTATTTACAATAAATCAAATGCTATGAAAGGGAAGGAGATTTTGTTTTCCATTTTGATATCGGGCTCGAATTTGATCAGAAAATCTATATTCATGAACCAAAGAAAAGTTTGCTGGTGCTTCGTCATTCTAGCGGGGCTTTTTTTTCAGTTGGTATTTCCTTTCAGTTGGTATTTCCTTTGTATACATGCCCATTTTGAGAGAGGGGTGTTTTCAATATTATTCCAAAGAGTGAACATGAATGGATAACATGAAAGGAAGTACAGAGAGTTGGAAGTGTTTTGAGGTCAATAAGGCGTTACCAATCTAACAAACGGATCAAACAAACCAATCAGCATGTAGCGATGTTGTAGGGGTGGGAAATAACAAATCTAGAGAAAAAGGTCTTCGATGAATATGTATCATGTTCAACACATGCGCAGTTGGTGGATATGATTGGAGAATCATTATTGAGGAAAGGCCTGAGCAAAGAAGTTATTGACAACGAGAGAGAAACGTGAGCAGCATTGGTTTATTATAAACTGGAGTTGGTTGCATGTTATTAGCTGATTATGCTATCCATGACCGAGCCGTTCACCAATCAGATAGAGGAACAGTGTTTTTACATTTGGATCACAACTCTCGTAATTGTACTACACCCTTGACCACTAACTGCTGGAAATGCATCATAAGCCTAAAAGAAAAAGAGAGAGAAGGTAAAAACACTTTGCCAACCCAGCACAGCAACAAAAGCAGAAAGAAGAGAGGAACAGTGATAACAGATTTTGATTGGGTGTGCATGTATGATATAGGCAGTGCTCCCCCCATCCATGGAGCGGGTTCGGTCACTCATTCGCGTCATCTCAACACTGTACATGCCTGGTCAAGCAATGACAATGAAGAGAGAATAAATGCTGCGCACAATACAAGTACATTAACGTTGGAGTGTGAGGTCATTGCCATACCGAGCTAGAGCATACAAATCATATGTGGTGTATATAATGAGAACACTATGTGTGTGTGTGGTTAGTAGGAGGATTGGTTCTTTCCCAAGCTGCTGGCTGGCTGCATGGCTATGAGTGAGTAAACACTTGGTCAGGATCAGGCAGGGCTTCTCTTCTCTCTCAGTCTCACGGATCATTCATTGTCCATCCACTCTACAAGCAGAGGGCTTCTCTTTCCGCCAGCAAATATGGCCTCTAGGCAGGCCAGAACAGGGGTATGTTCTCTTCCATATCTACTACTTTTTTCATTTCTTTTCCACAACATTTCAGTGGTGGAATCTGTGGTAGAGTGTTAAGTCATCTGTTGATGCAGCCTGCAAGTTGCGTTGCACGTTAGCTCTCTCTCTTCCCCTCTCTCTTTCTCTCTTCCCCTCTCTCTTTCTCTCTCTCCCTCTCTCCACTTCTCAGATAGCCTACCACTGCGTGGATACTATGTTGTATGTGGCTTTGCGAACGAACTAGAACTACCCGTTAGATGTGCGGCCATGTACAAATGCCACTGGCCACTGCGTACACACACACACACCCGCTGCATTCACCTACAACACACGCTCGCTTTCTCACACACACACAACACACACACACATTCAGAGCTGAGCGCACATACAGCGGGCAAAGGAGGGCTCATACATGCATACCGCACTAAAGGCCTGTGCAGTTAGAGTTCAATGTGAACCTATGTGATTATGTCAGGTCAATATTTACAGTGGCCTCTGCTGGTTGCGTATTGGTCTTACTCACTCATTGTAGAGCGTAGTTAGGCTCTGGTTTCTGTTAGGCTTATGGAGTCACACGTTTGGAGTACTGTTGGTGGTGTAATGAAGCCTGATTCCTTCTGCATTTTTGATCGGTCTTTCTATCGTTGCTACAGCTTCTGAATACAATGTACTAACATATTTTTCTGCATATTTGTATTCTGTAAGGAAAGATAATAATAGTGTTCACATATTTGAAAAGGCTTTTGAGGGAGTTATATATATATATATATTCTCTCTCTTTTTCTCTTTCTCTCTCTCTCTCTCTCTTTCTCTCTCTCTCTCCCGCTCTCTCTCTCTCTCTCTCTGCCTCTCTCTCTCTCTCTCATTCTGTTTAATGATTGTTCATTGAACCCTGTACTTGGGATTACTACACACAAATTTGTTCCAACCGTTGCACTTTGTCCTCTCCATGGTATTGTAGTCACTTCAATAACCCTCTTAAATTTGAACTTCAGCTACCAATCATCTGTATTTCTACATGGTATCTGATATGCCTTTAAAGCTTAGTCGCTGTATTACATTATGCTTTACCAATGAATAAAGAGAGAAAACTTAGAATTTGCATGATTTATTTAGAGAAAGAAAGGTTTTTATTATCATTGTGAAGTTGAGAAAATCAGTAAATTTTATCATGATGCAAGAGGTATATTTTATACATTTCATAAATAGGAGTAAAATTATTTGTGTTCGACACTTTTGACACTTTTGACTCATTTCTAATTACTAATTTTAGTGGATCGTTGATTATATTGGCATTGTAAAATGCATTTATTTTATCTTACACTATTCAACATCAACAATTACATGTATGTTAGCAGCTGAAATCTGACTACCCCATGTGGTACCAACAAAACTTATTCTTTAAATTGAGTTCTAAAATCCATTTTTATTGAGAACAATTCTTTGGTTGTCTTCTTCACTCTTTTGACAATTCATATTTCCACATATTAAATAGATCACTGAATTTGATAAGTTTTTTTCCACACCGTACTTCATTTTATGAATATATAATGCCTTCTCATTATTGATTTTATAATTGTAGGTTGAGATGATATGTTTCATGTTTTTTACTCTTTTTTTGTTACTTTGTCATACTGTGTTTCCAAATTGCAAACTAATACTCTCATGAATTTCTAATATTTCAGCCATTTAAGATTACCCCGGTATGTTTAACCCTTTGTTTGTGAGGAAAGATTTTTATAGGCCAAATCAACTCCTCTGGATATTCCCATGTATGTTTTTACCGCGTGAAACCTTTGTTTAAGCTATTTACTCTTTTCATTACAAATATGTCTTCAGAAAATGGAAATAAAACATGCAGATTTAACATTTGCAGTGAAAAGTTTATACATACATTTTAAAGAGATGTTGATATACTTCTAGAACACATATCAGCCCAGGATATATTTCCTCAAATTATATTTCATAGAAGGACACCAATTATACCAGTAGATAATAAGCAAACTCAAGACTAATTATCCTTTTTTGTATTTTATCTTTTTTCTTCATGCAGGAAAAATATTGCAATCTCTGTTTCCAAGGAAATTGTGAAGAATTGGATCATGAATGGCTAACAAAGAAGAATTACGAACAGTTGGGTCATCCCGCAGTAGCTCAAGTCATTCCAGTATTGGTGAGGATTCGGCAGGAACACCTCCAGAAGTGCAGCGGAACACCTCACCTGGCGTAAGCCCTCGTAAGCCAAGCCAGGGATACCAGTGTCAACTCTGTACGTTTATTGCATCCACACAGGCCGCCTTTGACGAACATATGAACATTCATACGGGTTCACGCCCATACCAGTGTTTAGAGTGCGGTTTTAGTTGTTCATTACACAGCACGTTACAGCAGCATCTGGCAGTCCACAGAATCGATATGACGAGCTCTATCCTACTGGATCGACGCATGCCAGACATTAGTAAAATTAGAGACCTGCCCCCACCCCTCATGCCGGAAGTGAGTCGTGGCATTCCCTTGCATGTATCTACCTCAGGTCCCCCTCCTACCATGGAAGGTCTCAACTCCCTAAGCGCCCTTTCCCCATTTTCTGAACATGGACGAGTGTACCAGTGTAAGCTATGTACACACATTTCTCCTACGAAGACACACTTAAACGAGCACATGAATGTTCATTCAGGGAAGAAGCCCTACAAGTGCCTGGTTTGTGGCTTCAGCAGTGCCTTCCGAAGCAGCCTGATGAGGCACTTGATCGTCCACACCGGCACCAGTAAGCAGTTCAAGTGTGACCAGTGCCACTACCAGACGCCCTACAAATGCAACCTTCAGGCCCATCGTCGCAAGCGCCATAATTGCATGGATGTCAATGGAGCGCCTTTGCCACCCTTGTCCATGGACGACGACAACTCGCCACCTTACAATGCTCAAAATAATAGCTCCTCACCTTCAGATGAAGGGCCGTATAAGGCCCCTCTCTATATCAGTGAAGGCAAACATGGCTTAGATACCTCAGGTTTTGAACATGGTCCCCCTCCTTTAGCTCATGCAATGGCCATGCAAGAAGGAAGCCTCTACGATGGCTCAGACAATGGCATTAGAGAAATGGAGATGGGCAATGGCAAGATAGCAAAACATTCAAATATTTCACTACCTCATTCAGAAATAGCCTCCTCAGAAACACTTAGTCCCCAGAAAGCAAGTCCAGGATCAAGTACGGGTCAACCTCAGGAAATGCCTCCCCAGGAATCGCTGGACTTCCCGGGCAGCGCCTCACCACATCTACCTTCCCGAGATGTCCATGAAAGCGATTGCAACCACAGTGCCCCTCCTCGATCAGGTAACATTACACCTGGTTCTCTGGGCATGGTCAACAACACCACGAACTCTGTAATTTCAAATACACCTATCTCCCCTCATCCTCTTCCTCCCAACGAAAATGCGCCTCACTGGGCCAACTTTCCAATCTTCAGGCGCAAGAAGGAGGGCGGTGCCAGGAAGCGGAAGAGGACACCCTTCCCGAAGAGAGAACTCGTATTATCGCCAGAGCAGGAGCATGGTACTGAGCTCTGGATCGACACCAGGTCTGACGTACCCAATGCAGAAGGTCAGGCAGCAGCAGCAGCAGCAGCATATGCCAGTGAAGCTAATCACCCTCTTGGTGTAAAGGCTGAAGGGGTCATGCCTGCATTCCATCATCCCCAGGCAATGGTCAATGGTATTGACCCAAGCTCACCACATGACCTCAACATGTACAAGTATCCTCATGGAGTGGTCCAAAATCTAAGATCACCTGGTGATGTCACACCAGACTCAGATGAAAACCCTGGTCACTCACAGAGGTACTTCAAACAAGGGGTCTACGAGGCCGACCAGGTGATCAACAACGGTGAAATCTCTACCTCTATCCCGCAGACATCAGACAAGGGCAACAAGGGCAGCAACAAGAGCAGCAGCAGTAGCGGTGGTGAGGAAGATGGCAAGACAGATGGTCAAGCGCAGACGGAATGGATTGGAGGTGATCCGGTGGGCATTCCACATCAGGCGGTCAAATGTCCTCACTGTGAAACCTTCTTCACTGACCATGTGATCTTCACTCTGCACATGAGCTGTCACGGCACCAGGCATCCGTTCCAGTGCAGCATATGTGGCTACGTCTGTCGGGACAAGATCGAGTTCACCTGTCATGTGACTAGAAGCCAACACATCAGGTAATGCTTTCAAGCCAAGAAATATCTTTATCATTACTTTGTTACTATTAAGTAGGTGTTGGAGCTTGGAACTTAAATATTTTATGATGCGGGTGCAAAATATATGAAATATAAGTGTTTTTGACTATTATGTGTTGAAATGTTCCATGTTATACTTTAGCACAAGCTTATTTGTCAAACTGCAATGACTGTCGATTTTATCATGTAAAATGTGTATTATCAAGTGTATTGAAATCATTTGACACAAAAGAGTCAGTAAGTGCTTGCATTTAATTTTGTTCAAGCAAAGTCTTATCAGGAGAACTACTGTTATAGTTTTATACTTTTATATCCAATGAGAATATTTCTTATGTGCACCACACATAGAACACATTTATATGCCAAGTATTTTCTTGAAAAAGAACATGATTTGTTCATGTTTCCTTGATTCATGTATATGGCCAGTCAGTGTATCTATTTTTGCCTTGTAATAGGTTTTTATGATTGTGAATGTGGACGTTTTTAAGTAGGGATGTCTTATTGTAAATTGTGTAAAAATTGATTATTGGTAGTATATAAATTTGTACCTCTGTGTGGAATTGATTATTGGTAGATATATATAGATCTGTACCTCAGTAACTTACATTTTATGACAAGAACAATTTAACAACCATCAATTTTTCTTTTAATTGTCTGCACAAAGACATAAGTATATGTTTTCAAAGCCAAACACATATCTCACAGAGTTTTACATGGCTGATGATGTGCCAAAGTTACCTCTTTTCATTCAGCCAAGCATTTAAAGTGAAAAAAGAGAGAAGAAATCTTCTCGTGATGAGCCTATCCTGTAGGATTTAAAAATCTGGTCTTTGTTCTTGGTAATAATGAATTATTAATAGAGTCCCAGTCAGCCCACATATTGATCTTCTCCTAGTGTATCATAGGGAAAATAAGAGACTGAGGAGTAGGCCCGGGCCTCGTTCACATACGATACAATAAACCGCCTTTAAAAAAATGCCATGGCAAAATGAAATTTCACAAGCCTATATAAATGATGCACTTCGCATTTCTCCGTCTAATCACACGCATACATGTAAATATGGGTATGCTTTGTTGCTTGTGGCTACATTTTTTTCCTTCACCCTAACCTGCCATTTATTTATGTGTGAAAGGGTATAGTCAGATGGCCACAGCACTTTTCCGAGGCGGTCTAATAACTCATATGTGAATGAGGGTTAAACTGCCAAAACAAGTATTAGGGCGAGTCTAGATTGACATACATCTTTAACACCTTCCTAGAGTTTAAATTACACCCCTCTCTCTCTTTCTTTCATTCTCTCTCTCCCTCTCTCTAATGTTAATGAATTGTATTTTCTCAGAGTTTCAAACTTAAACTCCTTAATCTCCCACTATCTTTTGTCCCTCCCCTTTTCTGCTCCCATCGCTTGTTTTAGCTGACTTTTTTTGCACTCTGTACCTTTTGTCTCCATTTTATCTATTTTCTTTCCTCCCAGGCTCCCACATTCTCTTTCTTGCTTGCTTTCTCTCTCTCTCTCTCTCCCTCTTTATGTCTATTTCTCTCTCCTTACCATCCTTCTTCTCCTTCTATTCTCCATGAGCTAAGGATTATGAGGATCTGTAGCAATCCAGAGTTTTCTCTACTCTCTGCTTAGTCCCATTTCATGGCCTAAATTTGGTGTGCCTTAGAGAGCCTCATCATGCATACATTGCTATGAAATCCTCACTGATCTACCTTGAATGTATAAACATACATAATATGGAGATAAAATAAAGCATTCCCCTTATGCCCGTTCTAATCACCCTTCCATAGTCTGATCCCTCAACCTAATTCTTTAGAATATATTTTATCAACAGTGTCAGATGAGGGAGATAGTTTTCTCATTAAAATGCATAAGTCTTGAATCTGAGTGCCAAAGCTGTTCTATGGTAGCTTTTAAGTTCGCAGTTTCCGCTGTCCCATATCAACAGATAGACAGTGATTTTACAATACCGGTCTGCCTTTCTACACCATAAGTTAACTTGTATAATATGCATTGGCATGGTTCTTATTATGATCCTCTATACTACATCCTGATCCAATGTATTTCTCATGTCAAGCTCCTACCCCTTCTTCTCTGTCTTGTTGGGTTCAACTTCATACTTGGTTTATCAGTATGAAGGAAATGGACAGTCATAATAGCAAGGTCATATACAGGGGACAGTTACAAATTTAGCTCTACTCGCTTCACAGGGGCTCCTTTTACACCAAGTTCATATCCTGCTTGCCTGATGATTCAATGCCCTTGCTCCTGACATACTTCTTTCCTTCTCATTCTCTCCCTCTCCTGCTTGTTGGTACATATGTAAGTCCAAGACTGCCACATTGATCAGGATTTGATTGCTTCCTGATTAGCCCCCCCCCCCCCCTGGATGTCTCGCCAACTCTTTAGTTGAGTATTTACTGAATGAATGACATCTGTAAGGGGTGAAAAGGAAAACCCGAACACTTCCCGCTTGGGAGAAGGCTTAGCCTGCATTCAGAAATACGGGAGCTGAAGTGGATCACAAGAGTAGAGATCAAATGCAATCTGATCCCTCGGAGAGAGATCCATCTTCTCATCTCTCCCTTCTCCCTCTCAATGTCCTCTGCCCCCTCCTCCTGCCCCCTCCTCCTCTTCTGTTTACATGGATGTTGCCATTCTTATTTGAAAGACTTTGACAGCTTCTAGATCACCACCATAACAAAAAACAATGCCAATAGGTGTGCATATGGTGTTTGTTTAACTTTCAACCAACCAATTTGCATATTCAAATTTCATTCTCGCTTCTATTTCAATGGTCACTAATGACAACCTCCTAGCTTTTAATAGACTTGTCTAACATAGCAACAACTAATGTATGCAACCTGCATTCTGACTTTTGAAATACAGGAACTTGGAGGAGGTGGATGCAATAGTTCGTGACTAGGATCTTGAGGTAGACGACTCCAGAAATTGGGATTCATTTGTGAACTGGTCTATACTAAAGCTTCTGTGGCAGTGACTCTTTTCAATCCATTCTTTCTGTTGGCACTTTATCACTTAATCGCTTTATCACCTTTCTTCACTTTTGGGATCATTAGATTATGTTGTCGGGTGGGAATGAAGTAAGCTTGGTAACTTTTGTCTCGGGTATCAACTATCTTGTAGTCTGCACACTCAACGTATCAATGCATCCATATTCGGGTACTTAAACCACATTAGCCTGCTACAGTCAAAATCATAAAGGAATTGTTTGACAGGCCAGTAAATTTGTGTGTATAATAGTAGAGCAATGACTAATTCCTTACTAACAATGACTAACCCTATCTATCAACCCCCTCACTTCACTACAACATCATCTTTCTTTGTACGGTATGTGTATATTTTAGACACTTTTTATTAGACCCTCTTGCATAAGTTTTTTAGAAGATGTACAATTTTTTTTTTCATTCTCAGGCTGCAAGAAACTGAAATATAATGAGTACAACTTATCTCTCTTAGTCAAACGCAAGATTTCGAATGATTTTTAGATTCCAAACAAGAAAAAATACAATATGATTACGGGTACTTGTTTGGGGTCTTTAATATCAAGGGTTGATCGATGTTTGAGTCATTGAAATCATCATTTCTGAGGAAGGGGTTTGGTCACTCATTCTGAAATTTATTGAAATACCTCCCCAGAGGTGTCGTGGTCGAGTGGATATGTCACCGGACTGTGGATCACAAGGTCCGCGGTTCAAGTCCCGCCACGGCACTAATGTCCTTTGGCAAGACATTGATCTACATTTGCCACTCTCCACCCAGGTGTTAAAATGGGTACCCGGTAGGATGCGAAAGCTAATGTGGTTTGATTAGCAATGGCGCTTGTAAAATGGCGACTGGCTGGAATGCTCCCCAGGGAGTGGAGAATGTGCATACCTTGTGTGCGGGTAAGCCTGAATCCGATGACCGGGGTAATAATATGTTCCGCGCCTAGAAACGTAGTATTAGGCGCATTATAAATGTGAGCTATTATTATTATCTGGGATTTTCACCAAATGAATCAATGTTAATTTGATACATTTAAAAATAATCTCGTCTGATATGAAGCTTGAATCAAGCTTTGTGTCAGAGAAGATACAGATAATATTAATAGATATCTGAGGGTATATTTTGACCAATTTGATGATGTATAGATTAATGGGAAACAGGAATTTGCATTCATTGTCTGAGAACTTTGAATGATAAAAGGAGAAACTGTGTACATGTTTTGTGTATTATAGAATTAAAAAATAAAAAAAAAAGTAACTGAATTTGAATGGCACTGTTTCCCATGCACATATTTTCTTTTGTTTTTTTTTAGCTGCATTTCAATTTTACCATTCAGAAATATTCTTTATGCTGCATGCACTATTTCTGCTGCTTAGATTAAGTAGGTGGAAACCATTTGTAGATGAATTGTGCAAATAACTATCAACTGTAATATAGGATTAAGAAGAGTTTTTCAAATGGGTAAATAAATGGGTTCTCATTTCAATGCTAGTGCCAATCGTGTTGAACATCCCCTGTTAAGCAAACTACAGAAATGTGTTGGGACAAGGGCTAAAATCTGTATCTTGCTATACGATTTCATACTTCTTACTTTCAACATTACCGGGCTTTAAGGGTTTAGTGTTCTTGCTCCCATAGAGCTCTTCACTCAAAGCTTTTGCTAGTATCTTGTGCTTCCAGTTCAATGCTCAAAATCAAACCTTTGCTGATGATCCTACCAACACACTCCCCATGCTACTACCTCTATTGTCATAATACGTGCCATCTTGTCAAGATATGCAACTCATGGTTTCTTTTTTGTGCTCATCCAAATATTTGTTTTCGCTCCCTTTCTTCCTCCCCAGCAAGATTTGTTGTCAATATACAAGTTATGAATCTGTATTTCAGAGAAAAATCACACTCACTATTAATGAGTATACCGCATCCCAGTGATATTTGACGGCTTAGGTGTGATGTGTCCAGAATAGACATTAGGGCTACAAGGAACAAAGCATTTGCATTACATGCTGAAATGAGAATTATTAAATGATCAACATATACATATCTTTCCAATTCTTTGTGAACCCTTACTAAGGTCTTGTCTTAAACAGCTCAACATTGATGAGATTACTGAAAATCCTCTTTCTATGAAGCTATAATAATGATTCAAGAATATCACTTCCCAGCCCTTGAAAGGGGTAGTCCACCCTCATAACTAGCTGGTACATGCATGTATTAATGAATTACAATGAGTTCATTATCTCAGGGACTTCTATTTTGTCAAATATCTTCTGAAATAGAACCTAGAGGTACACAAAGTTAGACAATGGATCCTCTCTACTTATGGTATTAAAATGAGCAAAATCAATATATTCATGTATTTACACTCTAGATTCTCTAAGGTGGTATCAGAGAGAGAATCGCTACTTTCCTTTTTTCTCTCCCATTATCTTGATGTTTGAGCGCATTTCTTTGAAAAAGGGTAGATCAATCAACGGAAGTGTTGTCATAATTCCACTTGAAAACCTTATTGATTGCATAGAAAATATGATATTATTGTGCCATCACAAGAGGCGCAAAGACACATGTGTTTGAGACTTTCAGATGATATGTGAACGCCACCCCCCTGAGAAGTACTAATGTATGTGTGACAAAACGCACAGACACAGACAAATGCCATGTAATTTATTTCTCCTTTTGTTTTGATTTTGTTTCCCTGGTATTGTAATGTGCTGTGTACACAAAAAATTGCTACCTCATGAGTTGTTGTTGTTGTTTCTGGGATTTTTTTAGCTGATAAGATTTGTTTAACCCTTGTATTTCTGATACACAAAATAAGTATTTATAATTCACAGAGACTGAAGCACAAAATTTGATATATATGGGTAATGAAATGAAAGAACTAACTACATAAATAAACTATAATTATTCAAGCGAATTTTTGAAATAAATATAAAATACAGGCAATACAAAATATTGTTGAAAGCTTCATGTGGGTACTGGTACACATCTTGTGTACATGATGTTTTTAAGCGCTTTGTGTAGTAATTATCACAATAAATCTTGACAATGTTAATAAGAACATTTGTTAGTGCTTTTACCTTACTTCTTTGTCAAATTGGCAATGATGAAAAGATGAAGATTGTGCATTATCTGTCTACTAATACCTCACTGTTTGTATACAGCACATCTTTATTGAGCCATATTTTCAATACACACTATTTTGCAATTTTAAAGATGTATAGTATATGTGTGGGACTTTAAACACATTATAATGTCACATATTTTTGTGAAGAAAATGAACTACCTTTTTAGAGTATGTTGTTCAAAGTGCATTCAAATTTTTGTTTACGCTATCAACGAATATTTGGTTCCTCAGCATTTATTTCATTTTTACAGTTATTACCATTTTGTGAATTTTTTCTGTACTACAAATATTTATGAAACTTCAAAACAAGCAGTTTTTTTTAACACATAGTTGGGTTTCCTTTTTATTATTCTGTGCCAGTTTGATTCATGTTCAATGATTTAGAATCATGAACAAAAAAAAATTAAAAAAACAACCTTTTCACCTCACTTAAATGGGATATATCACTCTTAATATATTCTGTTGTAATTGTCATTTTTTATGAGATTATAATATTGCTATGTTATTGATGAATGAGATTTTAATGAAAATTGTTAGAGGGTACTTGTAGTGGCCATTGTAAATATTTGATATTTGTTGAAAATCTACCTCACTAACTAATTGAAATAAGAGAGATAGGCCATTTTAGGTTTGAATATATCAATCTCTCTGCCACTGTAGTGTATTTTGAGAGCATTTATTTTGTTGTCCTTTAAACTTAGAGGTATGAGTTTGTATAAATGGAAGGTTGTTAGATGTGTTGTGGATTTCTGCAGGGAATATAATTTGTTTGTCTACATGCATCCACTTTTCGTTGTTCTTTGTCTTCGGCCCCATTGTTCTAACGGGTCATATTGTATTATCTTTTTTTGCTGTAGAATTAAAGTTTTTTCCATTTTGAATGTGACATTATCTCTCACAAAATGATGTTTTGATTGGATGAATGTATACATGTATTATAGGATTGTTTGCTTCTAGATTCACGCACAGTGTTTGGTGTAGTGAAATGAGATTGTATAGTTTAATAGTAGCATTAGTAAATTGATGTTGTATAACCGTTATGGTATGTGTAGACTGTAAGCAATTCAGCCACATGGGTCTCCAACAATGGATCTCAAACAAATTACATCCAAAAGAAAAAGGAGGAATGACAAATTATTATCCTTGCACTTCGTAGGAAGTGGGTAATAAAGAAGAAAATGAATTAAGTCAAGGTAACATTTGTTTAGGGATCATATCTTATGATTTTTATTTCCAAAATGCTGCAAGATCTATTGAAATAAGTATCCTCACATAATATACGTATATGTGTATGTCACTTTATGATACTAATTATGAAGAAATAAAGTTGATAGTGATATTACTCAAGTCAGTAATAATGAACTTAATATTGTCAGTTAACTATTTCTAAAAATGAATCGCCCACTGCTCAATTTTGATCATCAAACCTTGCCATATTGTCACAGCCAAAATAAATTTTCAAACTCTGGCCAGTATAACCTGAAAGAAAGTAATAAGAATCTGTGTGGAGCTAGAAGGGCATTAACACATATATTAATTACACACATATAATTCCTTCCTGGCTTCAATCAGGAAAGATATTCAGTTAACCTGTAAGAATTAATGTTGCATTTACTAATACAGAGATTGTTTGATGGATAAAACATATTGAGCCAAGTGCAGAAATAAGCAGCCACATTCTTAGAGAAGTTGTATGAAATTTGGTGTCCAAGTATGTATTGATCACACACTGGTTATGCAATACTTAAAATCATGCTATTTGTTGCGATTGAATTTTATTACAATTGAAATAGAAATAATAATCATCCTTCTATTTCATAACGGGTTGAAATGTTTTCTGCAACTCTTTATCTTTAGGCACATTTTAAAAGGATAAAATGGTGTCTGATCCCATATCCATCAAGTAATTACAATGAGTCACAGATACACTGTAGCTTCTGTTTGGAGCTGTCTTGACTGGAATAAGAAAAGGCTGCTATTTATGGTAAATTTGATTTAGAAGGAAATCTTACAATCATTCCCATGTGACATTCTCTCATGTACTTGTTTATTGGGCCTTGCTTCCTAAAATAATGCTCATGTGTTTATTTCTCTATAATAATTATAGCAATGTTTTTAACAACAGAAATTATGAGGAGATGAAAGGTTTAAAGTTCATATGACAAGGAGGATTGTGTTTTGTGAATTCAGTACTAATG